GTGGCTATATTTATAAGCCTGTCATTTTTCAGTTCAAATTCATGATCCAGTAAGATGCACGAATCGAAAACACATCGTTGAGCCCGGCATGTTGGTGATGAGGAGTGTGATATTTGCCGAATGTTCCTTAATATCAGTCAGAGGCACCATTTCTATGAGGCCAAACACGATAAATCTTGCTTACTTTACTGTTTCAGCTCTGCTAGCGTTTGAGGACCACGATAGAACAACAACAATCAAGAACTGAGCATCAGAGATGTTCATATTCTTTTCTACCCACATGATCATTATGTGGTTGGTTGGCTATGAGTTTATTAATGGTATTGTCAACAGTTTTGTTTATTTTTGCACATGTTTCTTTAATTCATGTTGCAAAGCATAATTCTTCTGTAATCTTCATCAACTATAAAATTCAACTTTAACGGAACAGAGCTTTCAATCTATTAAATCTAGTGCATAACGAGATTCAGTCACAATCTATTACCTCGTCTGTTCGTCATAAGTAACAATAACTGCCTAGTTTCCAAACAGAACATGCAGTGCCAACCAAGGTCTTATGTCAAAGTCGAAGTAGCGGTCTTACGCAGCAACTTCAAAGCAGCAGTTGCGAGCTGAATCAACACCTCAATTTATTTCTGCAATGCAGTATTCAGGAAAGTGTTGGCGATTCCATTCCTCTACATCATCTTATCGTTTCCTTCTGTCAAAATGTACATGCCAAGGTCCATTTCAACAGCTGTCTTTGATTTACAGCCGTTTTTGTTCTGAAACTTCTAACGATTCTTTAACAGGCAGACGACCACCTTGAACGCATTAGCAGAAGTAGCGCAATCGATGGGGGTAGAGAAAACCAAATTTACAATCAATGATGCGTTACTTTACATCATATGAAACTAAAGGCTTTTCATTTTATAATTCCCTCCGATAGCATTCATAGCGTGTATGAAATAAGTATGGCATCTTTTTTATCAGTTGAACAGTCCTATAGAGCCTTTTTATAGTTTTTAAT